TGAGAAATTTTATTATATTATGCAGTAGAACTATTATTTAGGTTATTAAATATGTACATCCTTATTAAATTGTTGTTGAATTTACTATTCGAACTATTAAGAATTACGCAATATTAGGTTAATTGTGTCTAACAATTATTTGGTTAAATCTTACCTTGAGTTGAAGTTATAAATGCATGTTTTATATTAAAAATTCATAACACAAAGACAAATCTAACAACTATTGATTTAAATTTTCACCTGAGAACTTCTGGATGACACTTTCTTCTAGATGATTCTTTTGGATGATATTTTCTCCTTTACAGACGAGGTGTGCTTCCCTCCGCCATGCTCTCCCGCTTAAAAATCGACCATAAGAAATATCGATTACGTTCGAGAATCGTAGGAAGTGTATTCCGTATTTCACCGCACGTTGGCGCTGTAATCTTTAATTAATTTAAACTCAATACGCGCGCATTTCGCACGAAATGTTAACTGAGAATAAAAGATTCTGGTCTAAATCAAATACACAAAATTCATGAGAAATTCTTTAAAAAGAACGAAAATATTCATTACACTAGATGAAAAATTGTCAATACTTTAAACTGCTATAATTTCATAGAAGAAAATTGTAGAACAATTAACTTGATTTTATTTTAAAGAGCGAAGTCTCCACTTTAACAATCTTGACTTTATTTTATTCAAATTATTTATTATTATTTATTAACCCAGGATCCCAAAATCGTAGGACAAAAAGAATACTTTATATGTAGGTTTATTCATATACCTGGTCTGTGTGATAGCATTGACACAGACGAGGTGCATGACTTCATCTCATTTAATCCACAAAATTGATAAAAATATTCAAATTTTGTTCAATGGATCGCAAACTACATTCAACATTTGCAATTAAAATGATGCAACTGCAGATGTTCACGAATTGATTCTCGTAATTAATTTTTTTTTTTCTATACTGTACTACTTTTTTTCTATACTGTAATACTTTTTACTAGCTATATCGAGTAAATTTATGTGTATCCAAATTTTTTCAGAAGTGCACAAATATTTACAACATATCTACTCATTACAATAGATTATACTCTACTCTAATACTCTACTCTGTTTATTTGAAAATGGAATTATGTATTCAATATAAAATAAAATAAATAAATAAATACATTCTAGAATAGATAACTATTACCAATATGCATTAACTTAATTAACTCAATTATAAGTATTAATCATATAAACTTTCACTCGTCTGCTACTGTAAATGAAAAATTATACGTGATGGCCAGAATAAACGAACAATTACCTGTTCTCAAGTATGTTTAGATCTATATAACCTTGTATACAATAAACCTGTTCTCAAGTATGTTTAGATCTATATAAACTATCTAATATTCTAATATGATGTACATTCCCCCTTCACCTCTACTATTATCTCTCAAATGTTGTTTCGGTATTGTTGAAACTTTGAAACATGCAAACTTCAACATCTTGTTAATTTTCCGAGCTCACTGTAAGTGCATACACACTTGTGTATCTCCTCCGTCGACGATATTTCCATTTGTAGAACTGCAAGTCCCACTACATGGAAGAATCCCCTCTTCCAGCTCTCTAGTACCGTTATCATGTACTCGACGATAAATGTTCTCGAATCACTATTCAACAGCGACCTTGTTGAGTTCAGCCACAAACATTTACGCGATATATATTAACACTCTGCACACTATTAACGCGTCAGAAATCATTCATTTCGAATTCATAAACGCTCACTCACGTTTCTTCCTACTTATTATTAGAACAAAAGTTTCCATCTTTGTAACCAGCGTTCTTTTCTTATCTGCTCTATTGTTCTGGTTGTTTCTATCTTTTAGTCTCATTTTTTTATTTTTGACAGTCGATCACGGGATCAGAAACGTTTTTACGTTTAACATCGATCGTCGGATCAAAATCAAACTGCCAAGGAAATGCTGGAAAACAAAGGTATAGTTGTGGAATTATTCTGTTTAGTATTAATTAGATGTCGTGGTTTTGAACGTGTGTAAAAAAGTACGTAGATTTTATGAGTATATATTGTATATATAGATTTGTTTTTTAATTAGTACTAGAGACAGAATTGCAATTATATGACTAAAATTTGGAACCAATTTGAAAGTACATATAAAAGTTGCAAAATATTTTTTGCATAAATATCTACTGTCTTGAACGTATGATTAGTATTCCATATTGAAGTAAATATTTACAATAAATATCGTATAACTTCTACATACACTTCTATATACAGATTGATTTCCAATACGAATTTGTATAAAAGAAAATATATCAAAAAAAAATAACGGAGAATATATTTAAAAGTGTGACTAATAAATAAATCATTTAATATCAAGTAAATTTATTTGACCTTCGCGATGAATTTGCACTATTTTACAAAATAGATTATTTTTTAAACCAGTTCAAAGAGTAATTTAAAAAAAAATATATTTTGCAAAATTTTTTTTGAAACGATTCATTTACAATTATAATAAACTAGCGTCAATTCAGCGAGCAATATTGTGTTATTTAGGTTGTACAAGTTGCAGCGGACCTGGCTATAAATCGCCAAAAGCAGCGATACTCGAGGGTCCACGTGAGAAACTCATGTATGTCGTCTCTATTCATACGGATAAAAATAAATCCGACGTCCTGTGCACTGTCGACATAGACCCAGATAGTACCGACTATTGCAAGGTACGATAAATTTTAAATAGGATTTAATTATAGCGATACTATCCATAATAGTTTCATACCGTGAATATATTATTTACAAGTATATCTAGGGCACTTTAGTCAATTTGTAGTTTTTATACTTAAATAATATAATTAAAATATAAATAATGATATCGTATATTAATGATATATACTATTAGTAATAATAAAATAATCAGTATGATGAAGTTAAAAGATAAATTTAATAAAATGGATCGCCGCAAGTTGTGCAAAATCAGATAAAGTTTGCAAACTTTTCTCTTTCTCGTGGGTAATCGCTAAATGAAAAGTTGCAATTTTTTTTTTTTTTTTTTTTGAGGTATGTAAATAACTCTATCAGCTTTATATTTCAATTTCTTTTTAAGCGAAAATATTATAAAATGGCGGAATTGTTCGCTAATTTCAAAACTTCGATTCAAAATTTCGATAAAGATTTAATTAAATAACTATGATATCAATAAAATTATTTAAATAGTGACATTAACAAATAGATTATGATTCGTCAATATATCTATATCAATTTCGAACACCGTTGCTCGATGTAATCATAAAAATAGATAAATTTAGAAAAACTTTTGTTTAGACTGTATAATAATAATCTATAATTATATAACTTTTCTTTTTAATTATATAACTTTCTTTATAATTACCATATCTCGTTTCATTCTTA